GAACGGGAATACACCTGAGCTTTCCGTTCTACCACCGCCCAAAGATTATCCGTCTTGTTAAGAATCTGAAATCGGAACACTATTTCATAGATTCTTCGTCCTATTTGTTGCAGTCGCTGATGATATTCTTTGTTGATTTGTATTTTCCCCTTCTGTTGATTTGTGTCTGAGATTGTTTCTTGTGGGGCTGAACAATAACACCCCTAAAAATTGCATAAGAAATGTAACTAAAAATGTTTTCCGACAAGAAAATCTCTTGTTTATCGTTTCTCGGTTTCTGCAACAAGCCAGTTACAGAAGAAACCTAATACCATCAGATCTCTCAGCAAGAAACTAAAAGAAAGATGGAATCTTTAGGAAAACAAAAAACAGAGTATCTTCAAGAACAAGAAAAACAAAGCTAAATCTGATTGATCATCGAGGTTGTGATCTTTCTACCTAAGTGAATAAGAAGCGACGATAATACTAGTAGTTCTGCCTTAAAAACAGAGTCCATCGATCAAACCGGTTCCCAGCTAAACTGCTGGCGTTGCTTGATCCTTTGGCTTGCAGCATTCTGATTTCTTCTTGAAGTTAAGCCTCCTGGTGAAATTCTTCCAGCTTTTCTTCGACCTCACCAACTTCTGAAGCTCTTGCTTCATGTTCATACACTCTTTCTCCAGCTCAGAGACTCGTTCTCTCACGTTCTCACCTCTTGGTTTGAGTAAAACCCCATTTCCGCCATTTGGGTTCTCGGAGTTGTCTAGATTCTCAGAGACAAAGAACCAGCCAGATATAGAAGTCCTTAGCCTAAGCTGTTCGAAAAAGAGAACCTGAACAATCACCCGGAGAGGCAGCCTCTCGTTCTGAGCCGCGTGAGTGCTAGCTTCCAACGAGAGCTTCTGGCAGTTCATGAGCCTACATATATGCTCTCTCTCAGAATCCGTAATCCACGGATGAGCCTGCAAATACTTGCGATTAAATCTCAAAATCTTAATACATCTATTGGTTAAAATCAAAACAGCATTTCTTTATTACCTTCAAGTACACGTCGATTGCATGATAAACTCCATCATCAAGTGGTCTTGCATAGTCAGGGATTGCAGCAGCGATGGCTTCGAACTTTGCCAGCTTTAGGTTAACATCAGGTGCCACCTCAGCGAGATAACCGTCCACAAGAGTTGCTACTAACGTCGTTGGAGTTAGCAGATCGGCTCCATCTTTCATCAAATGTCCTTCTTCGATGATGCAAGGAGAAGGGACAATGCCTGCTTGTTCCGTTGAAGAAACAAACTGTTCGATCATTCTCAAAACGCATTCGACATCGTAAAGCGTTTCAGAGTATCCCATGTTTGGTATGAGAAGATCAACTAGAGCAGCTTGGTCCAACTGATTTCCAATCCGTCTCTCTAGATTCTCCCTCGAGGACTGGCTTGCGTGCAGGACCATCGCGGTCTGAAGCAGCCTGAGAAGAAACTTGGTCGGGTTCACCCCTTTCTTGCTCGGAAGCAATCCGACAATCTCTTCGAGAGCAGCCTTTTGTTCTGCTTCAGAAGGACTCGGTGTCTCGATCACCTGCTCGTCCATGGTCACTTGTCTATTCATCAGAGGAACATGTTTCCTCGTATAGTACATAACCGCCATGGCGATGTTCTCAAGCTTCATGCCTCGTGCTTCGATGGCAGTGATCAGCCTTTTGAAGAGAGGCAAGCTGAGAAAAGAAGCGTCATCAAACCACCAATCTTCACCGGTAGGTTGCAGCATCTTTCCGGCCGCTGAGATGCCATTCCATAGATGGGATTCATCTTCAGTGTTCTGACCGCTCGTTGCGTTCTTTCCTCCTCCCACGGGCCAATTGAAAAGGCTCGGGTCAGCACATGCTTTGATGGCTAATGAATCAACACACCTCGAGATAATGTGAAGATCTTCAGCGTAATCAGTTACTTCCTCGCAGGTCTGAAGAGCTTTGATGGAGTCCGTCCAGTTACCAAACACTTCGTTGAGGAAAGTCTCTGTCATACCGACAAGATTCCCTTCTCCATAGTTATCAGTCATCTCAAGGTACTCAGCTGCACATCGAAGGCTAACAACGTTGAAAGCAGTAAGCTCGATTTTGACGCCATAGCAGAATTTTGTTATGAGCTCAAACGTTTTGCCGCCTCCAGGGATTTCATCTAAACTCAAAACGCAGCCTGATCCATCATCAGTTGAAGACTCGTCGATTAGCTTCTCGAGAAGCCCACTTCTTGAGAGCAACGGGAACTTTACACCAAATCAAAGACAGGCATTACAGCAAATTAGATAACACATGAGATCTAGAAGTAAAAATAAAGAGAAGATTAAAGAAAGCTCAAACCTTGTGGAGATGAAACTTCATGTCTCCAACTTCAATGGTAACATCACTCACGAGTCCTGTGGTGCAAAGCCTGTAGACAAGACACATAAACATCAGCCCATAAAATCGAATATTGAATATTGATGTCGCAAATCAATCAAAGCTACCTCTTTTCTTTAAAATTGAGGTCGTTATGAACATTGCAATAATAATTGAAACATGAAATCGATAGAAATCACCGATATTGATGAGAACCCAAACGAGAGCTTTAGAAATAACCCATCTCGATTGCAGAGTAAAACTAAAGACCCATAAGTCGACTCATCTAATTCAGGGAGGTAACATGGAGACAAAAAAAAAAAGGAGTACCAGGTTTGGCCTTCGCGATGGAAAGCTTCGGATTTGGAGCCAAGTCTCATAAACGCCATTTTGGAAGAAAATCAATTTCAGAAACTGAGTACGTAATGAAACAGAGTAGTAAAAACTGAGAAGATGGGATAGTAGAGGAGAGAGAGTAGGAGCTAGAAACTGTATACTCATCTCTATATTTAGCAAATTCTACAACAGGGAGAGAAGAGAACGAGTCTCTAGCAGAAGAGTAGGGAGAAAAAGAAGGATCTTGGACTTGTGTGAATTTTTCGCCTCTTGAAAACTTCATCAATCTTCATCTGTTCGAAACTCTGAAAACCGGCATTTAATTTCGCCGACTGGGCCGGTTTAATAATTTTCGGTCAAATATATCTATTTGGTTTACGGAGGAAAACCCAAACGAGTTTAATTGACTTCAAGACATGATACGTATCGTCAATACCCGTCGATTTACCCATTTATAAAGATTCACTAGATTCTCTTCGAAATGAAATCTAGCGTTTGTTTCTAGCGATTTACCTATTGAGTTTTTTCTATGGCGTTTGTTTTTGCAGGGAATTTGCGAGAACGCTCGTAGGTAAAAGATTCTATGATACTCTAGGAAATATTAACAACTTGTCTTTTTGAAAACCGGGCCGGTTCAGACATACGAGACGATATGGATTTCAAGGAATAAGTCGATTCATCTAATTTATAGAAATCAATCAACATCAAAGGTAAACTGGATAAATCGAATATACAGTATGTGAGTAGTCAAGGAGTTTGTGCGAATTAAGGGAAATCATCATTACATAGTAATAATAATATATCGATTGAAGACCAAAATTCAAGTGATGTTTCATAGATTTCCTCAACGAAGACCTCACATTCTTTTTGTTGTTTGTTATTTATATATATTATTTCAATATGAATGTCAATTACTTAGGCTAATGTCACCTAGTAGGCGTGAGATCATACATTACATCTAGTTTTTTTTTCGGCCGATACTTTTATGCGACAAAAGAAAATGATCTATAAAGTTGTAACATAATCAGTAAGTGTACAAAAAGTATAGAAATTAAAACACATAACTCAATTTATTTTTGTGAACGATATCTTGCAAAACTCAAACAGTCCAAAACCAATGTCTCTTTTCATACCAAACAAAGGGCGCCGCTTGTTTGCCACTTGACTGCATCTCTGTATGCAACAGTGTGATTCCCACATTTTCACATTCCACATACATTCCCTAAATTTGTTCGACTTTAATAGCTCATGCCTTTTATTACCAAACCATTGCTTTCTCAATTCTTCATTATTTTCTTTGCGTTAGTGCCGCATGTTTTGAGTCATCTTTAAATGTTATTTTTGTATCTATTTTATAACGAAAGACTCTGAAGAGACTTTTTATCATCTACTTTTACGTTTGCGTTTACAACTTATATACTGAGTATGTGATAAAAAAAAAATATGTTTTAACATAAACATAAACTTTCAAGTAGTGTACACAAGTCGTTGAGAAAAAGTAGTATACAAAACAGATATCATAAATAATTGCGTTTAAAACACTCGGCTCTATGGTTGTTTGAAACTTGAAAAACAAAATGCAATTTGCAACATTTACGAAGCAAGTAATGCGTATTAACGAGAGAAAAAGAATCTTGCAACTTTTTGACAAAATAAAAGAAAAATTCAGTACTGTGGTGATTAGCGGAGAAAGAAAAAATTGAAGCCAAATCTTTGAACTATTGTTGCAAAAGCATAGGAGAGAGTGGGAGACACAGAAATAGAAACTGCAATAACTTTCATTATTCAATATCACATCAACTTTAAAAAATGTGATTTTCTCCTTGGTGTCTCTATAAATAAAAATATAAATGTACAAAGGGATCTCATGTACAAAACACATCATTTCTAGCTGAAGACTTTTATGGCCTATCGTTTAAAGTCGAAGTATACATATGGGCTCAAACCAAGATCGTCAAAAGACGTGACAGTTGGTAGTTTGGTGTATGACCATTAAGGTTTTATCACTTTGGAGAGATGTTTTGTGAAGAATTTAGTTACACATGGAGTCAGTGACTAATCCGGTTCTCATTTGTTGGTTGGTTGGGTTTTGGATTCTGGTTTTAGAAAATAACTTGTTGAGGTATTTCTAGCTGAAGACTTTTATGGCCTATCGTTTTGGATTCTGTTTTCAGACCTGTTAGCTAATTAATAATACATTTCTTTAGTTCAAACTTCAAAGGGTTTGTTAAGGTATAATAACATTATTAATTTTTGACCACCTAGGCATTCATATCTTCTGAATATTTATTAGTGGATTTCTGTTAAAATATAAGGAAATAACCCCTATTTAGAGAGGCGCACAGACATAAACTTTTCATTATATCACATGATATCAAACCCAAAAAAAAAGGATAGGGGATGATCAAAACTCCACAAAATGAAAATAAGAAGAAAGAAGCAAAATAGGATATTGAAAAAATATCCTTCGGACCGAAACTATAACCGATCCTAAACCCCACCCAAAAAAGAAAAAGAAAAAAAGAAGTCCTCCTTAAATCAATCATCTAAGTAATTAATAGATTAACATATCTATATTACCAACAGATTAAAGAGTTATAACTAATTAGGTTACTAATCCTGAAATCCAATCTTCTCCCAAATCGCGTTCCTCAATCGCCTTAGATCTCTTCCCTTGGCCGTTCCACCGATCCCTTCGTGCACCGAGAACGAAGATCCTCTCCGCCGCGCTAAATACTCGTGCGGCGGAATCATCCGTCTTCCTCCCGTCGCCGCCGTGTCACCGTCGTTGATGTCGTCATCGTCCTCATCATCTTCGTCGCTGTCGTCGTCGTATGGTATCACATGGCTCCTATACTCACTCTTGAGAATCTTCGACCAGTCGGGGATGTTAACCGGGAGAGAACCGGTTTTTGGCGTTTTCCGGCTACCAGAACCGGCGGAATCTCCGGTTTTCGCCGGTTTCCTCCGCAATCGCGAGATTGATATCGATCTCTTCGCGTCAAATGAATTCGGCAATTGATGATCGCCTAAATTATGAATATCAGACTCGTCGAATTCAAAGACATTCTCGTCGTTCTCGGACATCTCTGGTTCTGGTGTTGGATAGATGTATTTTGGCTTGACAAAAAAAAGCTTCCTTGACGCCATTGAATTGATGATGAAAACAGAGCTCTTGTAAAGAAAAACAGAGCAGAGAGAAAAAGAAGAAATATGGAATTTTTAGATTTCAAATTGGGTTTCTGGGTTTTGATCTGCTTGTCGTCGAAGACGCTCAAATGGGGGTTTTGTGAAATTTTAATTGAAGGAATTGAGATCATTTTATAGAGAGATGTGGTAAAGAGATAAGCTCATTGGTTATGTGAAGTTACGACTTAAGCAAGTAAACGACAAACGGACAAAGTAGATATAATAAAAGTGAAAGTTTTCAGGTGTGGCCAGTCTCACGTTCTTATCGTGAGCTCTATACCTCCTGATTCTCACATTTCGTCCATTGGTTTTCTTTTTAATAACCCAAGGAAGAAAGGAGATGTGATCTAAATTATAAATTTACTGGAATTTAAGGTTCACCTAAAATGTCCTTCTTTAGTTATTTAGGCAATGAATGGTAAACCAAATGCGGTACGGTTTTTGCAAAACCGCTATTTTGTTACCATTCATCATACTATTATACATAAAACGTTTTTCAATTTGTTACCAAATTATATTAAAAAATTCAAATAATGTTAAGTGCAGTCCATAAAGTGATCAAAATTATGCAGTTTTGAAAAACTGTATTTTTGGTGTGTTTCAACTGCGGTTTTTGTTTTTGTTTACAAAAAAATTAAAACAAAATCTTTAAAAAAATCTTATCCTCTTATACATTTTTATATAAAAAAGATGTTTTAATTATTTTAAATATTATAGTTACAATATGAAAAGTATTATGTTTATCGCATTTTATGTTTTTACTAATCAAATATTATTTTGTACCGCTTATTCTACTAATATACTTGTCCCGCAAATATATTTTTCCCGTACGTACTGCATTTGAACCGCACCGCACTCTAAAACCGCTTTTTCTGCACAACTAAATACGCCGTCACCATTCGGACCCTTAATTTCAAATTACCTTCAAATTTGTTTTTTATTTAATTTTAATGAGAAAAACCTTTAAATGTGTTGCTACTAGATAAAAAGTTATCTTAAAATTTAATGTTGGTAGATATGAAATCTATGAAGTTAAAAAAAACAAATTACTGTAACAATCTTGTCAATTTCTAATTAGAATTGGTGTTATTTTATATTTTTATTTTGTCTTTTCAAAAAGCCATTCTATACCTCAATGGTGGTGAATACAATCCAACAATGACTTCCTGGAAAAGCCAATTCTTTACAAACAAAAAAAAAATTAAATTAAAATAACAAAACCGAACCAAACCGAGTTCGTGCGAACCGTGATTGAACCAATCTCAACCGGTAACCCATAAGGTTTACGAGACACCCAAAACATATCGTTCTTCCTCGCTCTGCAGTGCACCGTCTTCTCAAATCTCTCCGAAGCAAAGCAAGCTTCATCGATCTTCCCCTCGTGTGGTTTCTTTTTCTTAAAGGTTTGTGTCCATGTAAACTCTACTTTCTCCCTTTCAATTGTTACAAATTTCACCCAGATTGATTATGCGGTGTAAAATTGGGGAAATTGTTCGTTGCATCGATTAGAACCCTAATTTCAGAGGCTCGACGACCCAATCTTTGTAGTTAAAATAGTTATGCGTTTTGCTGAATTTTGCTCTGTTGTGGATTTGGATCTGTAGGAGAATGGCTACAGCCACATATCCGCCTCCTCCTCCATATTACAGACTCTACAAGGATTACTCAGAAAACCCTAGTTCTGCTCCTGAACCTCCTCCTCCTATTGAAGGAACCTACGTTTGTTTCGGAGGCAATTATACTGTGAGATTCCCCATATCGCGTCTCGCAATTCGTCATCTTTACGAGTTACACAATTTTTCAAATTCTTTTGCGGTTGCAGACTGAGGATGTTCTTCCGAGCTTAGAAGAGCAAGGAGTGCCTCAGCTTTATCCCAAAGATTCAAATGTTGGTATGTCATTCTTCTAAACTGAACCATGCTCAAATATTGCTAATGCTAATAAGCTTCTAGAGTTGATTAGGATGCTTTTGCTTAACCCCTTGATTGGAAATCGATCTTATTACATGATGACAGTGTTGGTTAATATAGTTTTGTCTAAAATGTGCAGTCTTCTGATCTCAGCCTCACTCGTTATCAAGTTATCTTCTTTAAAAGTAGCCTCCCTCTTTATTTTGTTGAAGATATGCCAAATACCTTTGTGTAGATTACAAGAAAGAACTCAGGTCTCTGAATAGAGAACTACAGTTACATATATTGGAGCTTGCTGATGTTCTTGTTGAGAGGCCTTCTCAATATGCAAAGAGAATTGGTGAAATATCTTCAATCTTCAAGAATTTGCATCACCTTCTCAATTCCTTGAGGCCTCACCAAGTAAAGAAGATCTCTCTTTTCATTTCACAACGTGTTTCATTGGTTTGTGCTTCATTGCTTTTTTTCTAATCATTCTCTTATGTCCAGGCGGGAGCGACGCTTATTCACATCATGGAACTTCAAATTCAACAGCGAAAACAGGCCGTGGAGGACATTAAGAGGTTTGTAAATGTAGTATGCTTTAATTTCTCTGTCAAATTGGTATCAAGATCAATCTATAAACTATATAAAGATTCCCCAAACGCCTGTTTTAAGGTTTTTCTTTTTTTCTAATGTGCTGTAGAGATGAGAAATAAAGCACAATCAAATGGTAATAGTGTTGTTGTTATTGTTGTGTTCAGGAGGAGAGAAGAAGCACAGCGACTTCTAAAAGATGCTTTCGTCACTTTAGATGGACAATAGAGTTTCTACCCATTATGTAAACGGTAAACCTATTTGCTCTGCTTGACGACCCCTTGAAGCTTATTTTTAGTTCTCTACTGTTAACACTAAAGTTTAGTGACTAAATCAAGGTTAACCAGCATTTAACTTAGACACTGTACCAGCATTATTATTATATTAGACCATAATTAATCGGTTATCTTTTGTTGAGAAAAAGCAATAAACCGGTGGTATAATACACTTGTAAGTTGTAATATCTCTTACATACATTTTGATGTGAATGGATCTGTCGATATCTTGATAAAGAAATGTGG